CTAATCAACTCTCATTGATGGACAGTTGGACTACACCAAAAATCTGTTCTGCATATGAGCTCTAGTCTCATATGCAAAGCATGCAGCATTTATCAACTTTTTAATTATTTTAAATAATTCTTTCTATAAGGGAAACCAGCATTAATGAGCTTTCTTAGGAGAGAGAAGAAGACTGGAGCATTAACGTAAGTTAATATATATATGTTTTAAACTAAATATGCTATTGTCTTATTATACCATAATATGCACATGTCCTGATCTCAATCTTAGTAGTTTATATACTATGGACTAATATCTATGCTTCTATATGATAAGGCTGATCATAAAATATTACAAAAAATAAGATTTCAGAATTCTTATATTCCATTCAAAACATAGATATTAACCATAACAAAAAACATAAATTATGTTAAATAGAATTTAGTGAAGTTAAGGGAACCAGAAATCTATAGTTAAAGTGAGAAACTTTGAAACTCTTCAAGTAAATGAGGAGACCTACTAGAAGTTGAAAATCTTTGAAAACTCTTCTGGCAAAAGAAAGAAGAAAACATGTCAAGTCCTAATAGTCTCCTCTAAGCGATAAGGTCTGAGAGCCTAAAATAGGATTATTTTCAATGATTACATTAAGAATAGGTAAAAATTTTCTAGTTAAAAACATAAAATTGTATTATATTCCTTTTCCCCCTAGAAAGCAGCCCCATTCATTTTCTGCCATTGGAAACATACTTTCCAGATCCTTTATATCAGCGGTCACTCATTAATTCAATATTTTATTAGTCTCATGTCTGCTGTGAATAAACATAGAATATGGGAAACTTTCGGTCCCAGGATTATAGTTTTTTCAGAATTTCAGCTAAATGCTGTAATCAATCGAAGCAAATTCCTCAAATCAATCTTAAACAAAGCTCAAAAATAAGTACATTGATGTATTTGGCTCACTGTATTGAGCCAATAGTGATTTCTTTTTTTTTTTTTTCCCCTCTAAAACCAACAACTAACAATACAGGATATCCCCAAAAGTGTATGCACAGTTTGAATAATTATAAAAATAGTGTTTATTAAAATACATTTCATTTTCAAAATGTAATAGAATCAGCTGTTAAAGTGTATAACATTTTCTGGGACACTCTACATATTTAAAACACAGTATTTTAATTATATGCTAGAAATCTTACATTATTATTTGCTAACAATAGTAAGTAGTTTTTTTTATATTTTTCATTTTTTGTTAATATAATAAGGATAATAATGGAAATGAATGTGGCCAAAATTAAAACTAATTTAATAAGGAAAAGAAAATATTTTTTATTAATCAATCAGTATTTTTGAGATTCCATTGCATGCAAAGCAGTTTATATAGAAAAACTTTCAATGATGCATCATTAATATATATTTTTAAAACTATGATTATACAGAAAATTTGAATACCTCATTTCTCTTAACTATGTAACATCTCTATTAATAAACACATTTTCTTTTGGATTTTCTGTCTCAAGCATGTTAAGTTAATGGTGTCTTTCCTCTATTATTTTTTATATCATCCCATGTCATTTCTCAATGGTTACTAAAATAGACATGCTCCTGTAAGTTTTCTGAGTGGCAGTAAGAATACTTAATACTCAGTGAAAATTAGAGGGTCCTGCAGAGAAGTGTCTGGCAATCAACCTTCATAGTCATTAAAAAATATTCTAAAAAGAAAAACAAGCCAATGTAAGTTTAGGAAAAAAAAAATAACCAATAAAAAGGCTCACTTTGACAATTGTACAAAAGTAAAAAAACTTTAGTAAGAAATAATTTATAAATTTTAGAAAAATAGTTTTTAAAGTTAGTAAATTCTATAGGATGTATATAGTGTGATGTGCCGAGAAAATATTTAAACAAGAGGAAGTAAGTATATAAAACTTCAATTAAATGTGAAGTAGGACTGAGTTGTAGGGGAGGTAGTGGAAAATATCAAGTTTTCTTGTGTCAGATGAGTGGTACAATCTAAATTCTATAGTATAACAATAAGGTAGGATATTTTAGGGCTAAAATTATTGGAGAAGGCTTTTTTTTTCTTAAAGAGGTGACATTTGACTGGGGTCTGAACAGTTTGGTAGACATTTGATATAAGAGAATGGGGCTGCAGTGGGTAGTAATAATATAGCAAAGGCAAAGAGCCAGGGCAGGTTGATTTGTACAAAAGACCACCTGGTTAATGTTAGAAAAGAAGAACATGGAGGGTGGCGGTCAGGAATTGAAGAAATGCTTCACAAGGAAAAATTTCTTATGCATGCATGGCTATTTTTGCATTCTGATAAGACATAAATCACAGTTGCAACAGGTAGACTGCATGGAAGAAAAACTGACTAAAAAAGAAAAATTGCTGACAAACTTAAGAGGAATCTTAGAGCTCACTGACCTGCAACATTTTGCTTTGCTTCCAAACTGTCTTACCTCCCAAGGCTACTCATAATCATTTGTTTCAATTCACTTTGGTCAAGGCATTCTGTTCTCAGAATAAGAACAAACTTTTCCTGCCTCTGCATTTGCTATAATATAACAATTTACCCAACAAGTAAGAGCAAATTGTACTTAGATTGCACAACTTACAAGCAACCTCAATTTATATGTATGCATCTGTTTGCTCTATCCTACAAACATAAAAAATCCTTGAAGTCAGAAACCACGCAATGTAATTTTTCATGCCACAGGGTTTTATGTTTTCTTAGGCTAGCCTACAAAAACAAAATCCAACTCACAAAATAAGGCTAAATTCATATTTGTTGAATAAATGTGTTTCAGTATTGATACTTTTTTCACTCCCTTCATGTTTTTCATATTTCTCTTTATCCTTATGAGGCAATCCTTATATTGAACCCAACTTTTATGCTTACCTTCTAGCTCTTAGAAAATAAAATGATTAAAACGTAGCTAGTCTCATCCATTAATGCTTTCACCATAAAGGTAAAAAGAAGCATCAGGGTATCTAGATATGAGCCTAATAATGATGGACAAAGGAAAAAATTCAAATGTCTTTCTGATTTACCAACTTGAATTAGAATGCAATATGAAGTTGGAGGAGGGAAATTGAGCTGCACTCAAATGGTCTTATACTACCTGATCTGTTTAATTCCACACTGTAGGTGCTGCGGAAGACTGGGTAAAAATAAAAATAATGTGTGTGGTTTTTTTGGTAGGCTGTATTATATTTTATTTTTAAACTATATTTTTATTGATTTCAGAGAGGAAGGGAGAGGGAGAGCTAGAAACATTAATGATGAGAGAGAATCATTGATTGGCTGACTCCTCCACACCCCACACTGGGGATCGATCAAGCCCACAACCTGGGCATATGCCCTGATTGGGAATCAAAACATGACTTCCTGGTTCATAGGTCAATGCTCAACCACTGAGCCACACTGGCTGGACAGTTAGACTGTATTTTAATTTAACGAGATGGTTTGGTATTCTGTAACAGCTATGAATATTTATTTTTAAACTCACAATTCCAATTTTATTTAATCCACCTGAATACAAATGGAATTCTTCTCTTAAATAACTGTTCAAAAGGTTAATTTCCTTTTTTAAAAAAGTAAACCTTCTAGAATAGGGATTTGATCTGTTGTTGGAGCACTTTTAAGTCTAATTAGCTGTTACAACAACCAAAGCAAGGCACTGTGACAAAGGGCTTCAGAGACTTGGATTCTATGTTTTACTCATAATTATATTCAAGTACCTTATTTGCCAATTCCCTCCCCCACTCCAACAATCTTTAGGTCTCATGAAATAACTTTGGAAGGCAGATAGAAGCCTCTTTTAGAGTAGAAATCCACTTAAAATGGCTAGGACTAGGTGGATAAGGCTAGGGAAGTCCTCTCCTTAGGCACAAAATATAAGAGCGTGCCCCAAAACTAGTAATGAAGATAAATATTTAATACACTAGTTTAAAGATGTAAATTAATGTAAAAAATCCATGATGGACAAAATATCAAAATTTAAATAATGACAGGATCCTACCCTGCATTTGTATGGCTTACCTCAATCACTTCACTTTAATCTCCTGAGTTTGGGGCGCATTCTTAATTTTGCGCCAGAGGTGAGTGCCTTAAACACTTAATCCTAGCCCAGAATTGAGTCCTAAATTTCATATGTGGGCCTTCCTTTGAATTCAAAATACATTGCATCAGCACCTTTCCTGTGGATGGACCTCTGTTATTACAAACCTCACGCGGGATCCTGTTGAATTCATCGATCAGCTGCCTCCTGCACACCTCCTACTGGGGATGTGCCTGCAACCAAGGTACATGCCCTTGACCGGACTCCCACCAAGTGGGATAATAGTACTTTTCAGGTGTCCCTGCTTTCAGGCACCTCCTGCTCTTCTAGCTCCCAGTTTTGTTGCTACTCTCCCCTGGCAGGAGACAGGCCATTTTGGCACTTTCCTTGCGCCCAGGGCCACAATTCTGCTTTGGCGGAAAGTGCTCACAACCAGAGAAACAGCTTCACTCTTTTGTACTTTCTGAATGAGCGCTCAGTTCACCTCCATTCTCCAGCCAAAGGTAGAGTGGAAAAACTGGAGCCTACACTCAACCAGTTGTCAAAAGCACCTCCCAAACCCCGCCCCAGGAAGAAGTAAAAGTGACGGTTTGGGAGACTGGAGAAAACAACTGCAGTGACTTTCGCCTGTCATTACAACATAAAAGAGGGGGAAAATGATCAAGACAGCTCCGGCTTTCCCACTGGTTTTATGCTTGAGCACTTTGCGTCTTCCAAGTCCACGCGCTCCTCTACCCCACCAGCGGTCGGAGCTGGCAGCACGCGAGGGCTCAGGGCAGGTCCGTGGACCACGCCTCCTGGGCTGGTCACCTCCCCTAATTGGCCTGACAGCCTGTCACTCCAACTGGCTCCCACTCCAGCTAACCATTCACGTAGTTCAGTTTGGTCTTGGTGTGTTTAATGTTGCCAATAACGAGAGATATTTTTTTTGGGGGGGGGGGGGGGGGGGGGAAGGAGGCGAGGCGAGTACAGGTCGTGCTGCAATTAGTTCATTGAAAACTCAGTTGCTCTCGGAGCGGTCGAGCGGAGACTGCCTTCAGCTTTTTTTCTGCTGACTGTTAAAATCTCCTGTAGAGAGCTGCAACAATGCCCAAAAGAAAGGTAAGTTAAATGGAAAGATATAAGGTGGGTTAGCTACTGAAATACATATTTCCTAATTGACAGAGATTAAACAAAAAAGATTTCTGCTCCTAGTTCAATTTTGTGATGTACTGAATGGAAGGGGAGGGAAGGGCAAAGAATCGTCGGTGTAAGGTTTAGGATGGTCTCGCATGCAACTAGTAGTTCACTTTTGACTTGTTTTGTTTAAGGGAAAGAATCGCTGAAGAAGTGTCTCCATGCTGAATTACAAACAGCCATAGCGCTGTGCTGTCGCTTCCTACCCCACCCCCCTTCCTCCGCGTACCCTATTGGAGAACGCTTCTCCCAACCATGCTTCCAGGCACCAGTGTCCTCCTCAGCCTCCGGCTTTTTTCAGGGAACCGTCCCGTGTGGGAGTATGAAAGCCATGGCTTTCTCCCATATTTGCCTTTGTTCTTCCCGTTTTCTTTTTCCATTTTCCCCTTCCCTCCTCCACTTCTTGTCATGCCAGATGGCTATGCAATGGTAATCCTGGGCCATTAGGCGGCGCAGACTTCAAACTGTCCGAGAGAAGAGAGATTCACGCTGTAATTAGCAACTTCAGGGCAGAGAGATCTGGAGCTCTCCAAGCTCTCTCTCTAAAGGTGGAAAGATAAGAGAACAGCATCAGATAAACAGCTGTAGATGTTGGGATAGCATGGATTTGTTCACTTTAGTCATGCAGGATTGATCTGAGCTACTCAAGGGCTACAGGTCTCCTGAAAACCCTCACTTCAAAATTCGTGGCTCCTCTCTTGGACATGAAAAAATGTATGCTTGGTATTTGTTCGTTTGGGGAGGAGGGGTCCCTTAAAAGTGAAATTGAACGCAGTTTCACGCTTGATAAAATTGTAAAACACTGTCCTAACATAAGGCACTCTGATTTTTTGATATTATTTCTATTTATCCATCTGTCTTCCCTGTTTCTATAACCTAGGAATAAAAATCGAAATTCCCCGGAGCTCCGGGACTGTGGTATGAATCTTGCAATAGCTTGATAATTCCCAGGCTGGAGCGCTGCTCAGGCACAAGAAGCAATGGTTTCTAATCACCATCCCCCTTTCTGAGATCCCCGCCGCCGCACTTTTCTAGGCCTGTGCAATGGGTCTTGCTATTTTACAGAGCTGACAGCAACCTTGTCTAGCAGGTAGTGGCGGGAAGTTTTAAAAATGCGGCTGGCTCCTCAGAATAACGCATTGACGTTGTAACAAAGAGGGGGCCCCCCCTCCAAAGCATTGTGGGGGTTGTAGTTCTTGTATGCAGAACTTGGAAGGGAGGATAATCCAGAGTCTTTACAGAGGTTCAGATAAGTACAATTGCATCTCAAACATAAGGCAAAACAGGGAAATTGCATGAAGCTTCGTCTTCATTCTGCCCGCCCCCACACTTTTTTTGGCTTTAACACTGGCTACAGCAGGTGGATATTAAACTTTTAAATGTTTGTTTCTTAGGAGATAAAATATACACAAAAAGATGAAATTGATTATCATTTGTGTAAACTTAAGTCTTGTGAATGCATTTGCATCTTGGTGCACATTTGCACATTAATGCACAGAAGTATGTAGCATGATACTAGGAAATAACACGCAGCTACTTGAACGGAAATTCAGGAAAAAAATCATAGCGGTTATGTTGCAACTGTAATCCATTGGCAATATTTTCTCATCTACATGTTTATATCGATGACCTTATTTCTGTATGGTTTTCTCCTCTATAGGCTGCAGGTCGAGGTGATATGAGGCAGGAGGTGAGTTTCTTTAGTTTTAGAATCTCAAAAAAGTACACTCATTTTGAAACTTGAGGCTCATAAGCAGCTAACAAAATAGATGCTGGTTAGTATATTTTATCACATGAGTACATAAGGAATGTCAGTGAGCTCCCTCAAAAATATAGTAGGTATTGAAAACTCCAACCTTCTTGGGATTTACAACATTATTGTGCTTGTTAATATCTGGAGGGAGTTTCTTCCTTTTAAGCAAAAGAATTGCTTTGTCAGTTTACAAGAAGGGGCTATATTGTCATTTTTAAAAAATATATATTTTATTGATTTTTCACAGAGAGGAAAGAAGAGGGATAGAGAGTTAGAAATATCGATGAGAGAGAAACATCGATTAGCTGCCTCCTGCACACCTCCTACTGGGGATGTGCCTGCAACCAAGGTACATGCCCTTGACCAGAATCGAACCTGGGACCTTTCAGTCCACAGGCCGACGCTCTATCAACTGAGCCAAACCGGTTAGGGCATATATTGTCATTTCTAAATATGCTCCTTGTTACTAGTGATTGTGTTCATTTAGCCTAGCAATTGAAGTTTAATTTGAGATTGTTTTCCCCCTTAGCTATATGAAGAGTCTAGAGGAGGGAGAAATAAAAACATATATTTCTACTATGACGTTTTATAATCAAATTCATAACTGCTTCTGTAATGACAATATTTATGTATTTTCTCTGCAATATAAATAATTCTAATTTTGTGTATCCATAATTCTCTTAACTGATATTTTTTTCACTCATAGCCAAAGAGACGATCAGCCAGACTGTCTGCTGTAAGTAGTCTTTTTAAAAAGCTGCCCATGTATTATAAAATGTAATTTTAAAATTCAGGCAATCCTGGACAATACTATATTTAATACAAGATTTATTTTTGATATTTTAAGAAAAAACTCTCACATTAAGGAATTTTCCCTAGTGTTCAGTTTGAACTCTCCCCATTTATTTTAATTAAGAAATTGAATTTTATTATTAGTGATCATTCTTTAATTCTGATTTCTTCCATCCCCTGCCCCCCTTGCCCCAGCCCATGACTTGTGTTTTTGTGTTGTTTTTTTCTGCAGATGCCTGTGCCCATTTTACCAGAGTTGAAGCCAAAAAGAACATCAACTCCAAGGGTAAATATTCAACATGCAATGTTGAGAAAAAAATTGCTTTTCTTCAGAAATAAATTTTTGGAAAAGCATGCAGTTCATCATTTTGTTTTCTGTTCAGTTAATAATATATTACATTATACCATATGGTACATGTAATCACTTTGAGTAAGGAATATTTGTTCATGTTCTGTGAATGTGATTGTCCACTGTGTTTGGGCAGTTTAATTAGGAAAAGACAAAACAAAATTTTAGTTTGGTAGACTCATAAAATGTACATACCTTTGACATCATATAGTTACAATACCTTTATTCCTGGAAAAACAAAGGTGTAAACTATAGTAACCAAGGTAATGCTTTTTTAATTGTTGTAGTAACTAATATTTGATAATAATTTTCAGTTTGCAAAGTGTTTTCACATACCTTAGTTTTAAATGGACACAGCTGATTTAATATAGGCTTCTATACCCTGATGTTGTGGCTAAAGACACTGGAAACAAGAATAACCTCAATATTAAGCTCACTTTTCTCCCTTTTACTTATATGTGTTTATCTGTAAATGTGTGAATATAGTTCAATTTTATTTACTTTGTTAACTGCTTTATTGAGGTATCATTGATTATTTAAAGATTGGTTGAATTCTTAAAATAATAAAAGTTTAAGGCTATGAGAATATTAGAGTCATGTAATCTCATTATTTTGTAGTTGAAGAAAGTGTATTGTAGTCATATTTGTAAAATGCTTTGACATTATTGATTTAAAATATTGTTAAAACTAAAGCAAGTGAAGTTTTAGTAATAACAGTGACAGTAGAAGAGAAATTTGCTTTTCTTTTTTTTTTCTATTTCACATTTCAAGGTCTAAAATTAGGTACTTAATTTATAGATTATGAAAATAGCTAATACTGTTTATTTCCTTTAAAAATATAAGATATTTCTAGAATAAAACAAGTACCATTTAATCAAGGACTTTAAAATACTTTACACTCCTTGGCTCTCGATTTCAATGTTAAAATACTAAAATCCCTGTCTATATTGTATTTTACAGTTTCTAAAACAATTTCACATACATTTTATCATTTTCTCCTTATAAAATCCCTATGAGGTAGGTGGCATGACTTTATTTTACATATGAATGAATAAGCTCAGAGATCTATGCTTTTGCCCAAGGTCACATCAAGTAAGTAGCAGATTCAGAATTCAAACACAGATTTTTCTGGCCCCTTTACCCAGTGCTCTTTCTACTACATACATACTTAGGCAAAGAGTTTTCTTGGTAAAGCAATCATGATTTAAGTTATTCTAAAAACTTATAGACACAAAAATTGAATCCCCTTTGTCCCTCGATGATCACTTTCAAATATGTCTAAATTGATAATCTCACTAGTGTTTCTACATGTAACCTGATGCTGGAAGTTGGCCCTGAGTATTTAGCATTCTAACTTGTTTTGCATCGAGAAGAAAATTTATTTGATTTATACCAGAAGAACATTATTCATTTTTTAATATAGATAAAGGGATTTCTTTATTTTTTTAAAATTTTCAATTATAGTTGACATTGTATATTATATTAGTTTCATGTATATAGCTTAGTAGTTAGATATTTATATAATTTATGAAGTGATTTCCCCCATTAAGTCTAGTACCCACCAGCTAGCATACATAGTTATTTTAATATTATTGACTATATTCTCTATGCTGTACTTTACATTACCATTAATGTTTTGTACTTCTTAATCCCTTCACCTTTTTCACTCAGCCCCCCAACCCCTCTTTTTTGATACTGCATCAGTTTACAATGAAAGTGAATGTATCTAATGATAATTGTGTTGATAAAAAGTTTGTATGGGTATTTTAAACATTTTTCATAAATTATTACAACAACTGGTAGAATAACTTGGGCCATTTAATCAATACACCAGTTAAATTTTATATTTATTTTTAATGTTGTGTGTTGCTGGACAGAAAATGAAAAAAGATGATATGATGGGGGAAAACGCAGATACAAGTGCCCAAACAATAGCTGAAACCAAGCAAGAAGTTATTAAAGAAGAATACAAGGAAAATGCTGAAAATGGAGAAGGCAAAATTATAGAGGTATCTTACAATATTGACAGATTTGTCCATTTAAAAGTTTAACAATAAGTATGACTGAAAGAAATCTTATTTGCCTTGTAGTTTAAATGAAAATGTTGAAACACATTAATTGAGTAGTGGTTCTATAGAATCATAATCTGTTCAGGTTGCTATAAGAAAATACCACAAGCTGGGTGGTTTATAAACAACAGAAATTTGTTTTTCACAGTCTGGAAGCTGGAAAGTTCAAGATCAAGGCTACAGCATTTTTGATGTCTGGTGAGGACCTGCTTCCTGATTTTTAGGTGGCAGTCTTCTATGTCCTAACATGATAGAAGGGATCATCAGATAGCTCTCTAGGGACTCTTTTATATGGACACTGATTCCATCCATGAGGGCTCTACCAGTATAACCTAATCACCTTTCATAAGACCTACCTCCAAATACCATCACATGGGGGATTAGATTTTTATCATATGAATTTGGGGGGATACAAACATTCAATCTATAGCAAATAGTATAATGGTATCTAAGGGGAAAATAAAGAAAATGAATTTAAATGTGAGATTTACAGGCATGGATAGTGGGAGCAATGGCTTAGCATTGATATTAATAGAACAATGCCAATGATCATGATTCAGTAATATAACAACTCTCTTATTAAATGCAAGCTAATTTTCTATTCCTTTTGTCAGCACATGCATTATTTGTAAATCATTTTCCCAGATCATAATTCTTTGCTCCCCTGCAGATTGCAAGACAAATTATTACGTAAATGTTTCAAATAGCTCTTGTGTTGCATATTTAATGCATACCACATTCTTAGATATTAGTAAAACTTTGAAAATGGAATAAAGTACCAAATCTACAAACAAAACCTAGACATCGAGGGAACATATTTTTATAAGTTACCCTATGATATAAGGTAAAAAAATCTAAATCGCACCATTATAGAAACAAAACATATTATTTCTTTAAGGAATGTATTTCTGTTTACATGTATGCTACTCATTGAGAATAGCTGATAAAAATATGTCATTTTCAATATGTATTCTTTTTGTTTATATTTTAATAAAAATTATTTATTTGAATAATTTTTTTTCCTAAAGTTATGTGGCAAATGTCTGTTCGTATATTTTTGTGTGGAGATATTTTAGTTAATCCTATTTCTTAGAACGTTTTCCTTGTAGTGTGATATTTAGGAGGCCTTTTCTACAGAAAAATTACCTTTTTGTAAATGAAGTGTTATTATTTTCATAAAATATATATAATCTTATCTAAATATTTAGGCGAAACAATTCTAAATTTACAAATATAATCGTGATTATTTTCTCTTACACATATAGGCATCAGCTCCTGAAAAAGAACCTGAGGAAATAAAAGAAAAAAAAATGGAAGATGTTGAAAAAGAAGGATCAGAAAAGAAAGAAGCAGTGCCATTGGAAGAAAAGAAAAACGAAAAAGAAGATCAGAAAGGAGATGGAAAAGACCAAAACAAGGAAGAAGAGAAAAGAGAAGATGGAAAAGAGGGTGACGATGGAAAAAATAAAGAAGATGGAAAAGTGGAACAAGACCAAAAAGAGAAAGGAGATGAAAAAGAGGGTGATGATGGAAAAGGGACAGAAAATGGCAAAGAGGAAGAAGATGAAAAAGAGGGTGAAAATGGGAAGGGGAAAGTAGAAGATGGCCAAGAATGTGAAAATGAAAAAGATAAAGGTGAAGATGAAAAACAAGAAGACAGAAAAGAGGAAGGAGATAAAAAAGATGATGAAGATGAAAAAGGTGATGAAAATGAGAAAGATAATGAAGATGGAATAGAGGATGAAGATGGAAAAGAGAGTGAAGATGAGAATGATGATGAAGGTGGAAATGAGGAGAAAGATGAAAAAGAGAAAGTAGAAGCTGGAAAAGAGGAGGGAAATGGAAAAGGAAATGGGAAAGATGGAAAGGAAAAGGAAAATAAGGCTGAAGTTGAAAAGGAAGTAGCTGAAAAAGAAGATGTCCAAAAAGAAGTGTCTCAGAGTATTGTTTAAGGCTGTTCTATGTAGTTTCATAATTTGGTAATATGTACCTTCATGTTGTAATGTTAATAGAGATAAATATTTTTATCAAATATTTTATAAACATGTTTTTTCTTTAGCATTAACTGACTTTCAGAATATATTCATACTGATCATTAGCCACAAATTTCCTAACATGAAAACTTTATAAATCTTGTGATTATAATAGAGGAATATATAGAAAAAACATGCTTGAAACTTTGTCAGTAAATTTCCTTTGGGGTAAGTTATGTGTTAAATCTTTGAATTTTACTTCCGTATGTGATAATTTCATAAAGTGGAGAGATCGCAAAAGAAAAATGGTATGTGGTTCTCTAAGTTGCTTTTATGAAGAAGGTGAACTATTTTCATGTAATGTTGAGGAGTTAAAATTATCTTTTCCAAATGTGACCTTAGTTGTAGTTTGGGGAAAAATAAAATTATAATTTCATTTTAAAAGAAATGAAAGTGTTTCTTTCAGAAGGGCAGTTCTGATTATATGTGTATACACAAAAATTTACTGGATTTATCTTAATAAAATTTTTCTTCAAAGATTATTGTGGTTTGTTATATATCCAAAATAATAGTTAATGAAATATTATAATGCTTGACTTTTTTCTATTGGGATATTCATAAAATCATTAAAATTTTTTACACTTACATAAAATAACAGCATTAAAGTCAGCATTTTAATCTTTTCAAAGTGTACAATTCAGTGGTTTTTAGTATATTCACAATATTGTACAACCATCACCACAACTCCACACCCACTGTTCCCTGACAACCACTAATTTATTTTCCGTCTCTATAGATTTGCCTATTCAAGATATTTCATATAAATAGAATCACATAATATATGCCATTTTATATCTGACTTCTTTCACTGGGCATGTTTTCAGTTTCATCTCTGTTGCAGCATCCTATATAATAAAGAGGTAGTATGCAAATTGGCCACCACACCCTCACACAAGATGACCATCTCCATGTGGGCACAAGATGGCCACCCCTGTGTGATCAAAAGATGGCCACCACAAGATGACTGGCAGTGCAGGGCAGTTGTGGGGACCAGGCTGGCAGGGGAGGGCAGTTGGGGGAGACCTGTCCTGCAGGGGAAGGAGGGCAGTTGGAGGGTATCAGTCCTGCAAGGGAGGGCAGTTAGAGGTGACCAGGCCTGCAGGGGAGGGCAGTTAGGGGCAAACAGCCCTGCAGGGGAGGGCAGTTGGGGGCGATCTGGCCGGCAGGGGAGCAGGCAGACAGGCGAGTGGTTGGGAGCCAGCAGTCCCAGATTGTGAGAAGAATGTCCTACTGCCAGTTTAGGCCTGATCCCAAGGGGTCCCAGATTGGAGAGGGTTCAGACTGGGCTGAGGGACACCCCCTCAGTGCACAAATTTTGTGAACTGGACCTCTAGTATATTATAATTGCATTCATTTTTATGGCTGAATAATAATATGTTGCACCAAAATACTATATTGTTTGTTGATGGACATTTGAGTTGTTTCCATGTTTTGTCAATTATAAATAACTAGAGGCCCAGTGCAAGAAATTTGTGCATTGGTGGGGGGTGTCCCTCAGCTCAGCCTGCACCCTCTCCAATCTGGGACCCCTCGGGGGATGTCTGACTGCCAGTTTAGGCCCTCTCACAATCCTGGACTGTTGGCTCCTAACCGCTCGCCTGCCTGATTGCCCCTAATCACTTCTGCCTGCCAGCCTGATCACCCCTAACCACTCCCCTGCCAGCCTGATTAACAACTAACTGCTTTCCTGCCAGCCCAGTCACCCCCCAACTGCCCTCCCCTGCCAGCCTGATCTCACCTCAATTGCCCTCCTCTTCCTGCCTGCTCACTCCCAACTGCCCTCCCCTGTTGGCCTGATCTGGCTCCCAACTGCTCTCCTCTGCAGGCCTGATCTCACCCCAAACTGCTAGCCAATTTGGTTCTGATTGGTCTGTTTCTATGCCAGTCAGCATCAAAAGCTCTGCCTCCTAGGCAGCCATTGGCTCCTCAGAGTTCACTCAGATTTGGTTCTGATTAGTTCATTTCTATGCCAGTCAGCTTCAAAAGCTTTGACCCCTAGGCAGCCATTGGCTCCTCACATTTCACCCAGATTTGGTTCTGATTGGTCAGTTTCTATGTCAGTCAGCATCTCTGGGCCTATCAACAGGGCCTGATCAGAAAGGCGGGGCTGATCAGCAGCTCTGGTGGAGGCCTGGAGAGAAATGGAGGCACGGCTACTGGAGAGAAAGAGAGAGGCAAGTGCTGATCAACAGCTGCCACAGAGGCTACGGATCAGACCCTGCTTCTCTCTTCAGGCCTCTCTCTGGGTCTGATTCACAGCCCCCTCAGCAGTCAGTGCTGGGTCACTGTGCCTGCAGCCGCAACAGTCAGCACTGGGTCACCACAGTAGGACTGACTTCCAGTTGGTCAAGCCTCCAGTCCTGAGGGACCCAGGGTTTTTATATATTAGGATGCTGCTATGAACATTCATATGCAAGTTTTTGTGTACATATTTGTTTTCATTTATCCTGGGTATATAGTTAGGAGTGGAACCACTGCTTCATACAGTACTACTATGTTTAACTTTTTGAGAAGCTTTCAGACTATTATCCAAAGTAACTTTAGCATTTTATATTCTCACCAGAAATATGAGGATTCAAATTTTTCCACATCCTTGTCAACACTTGTTATTGTCTACCTTTCTATTATAACCATACTAGTAAGGGACTTGATGGTGATCATAATCATAGTGATTTTGATTTGCATTTTTCTAATGAAATTGAGCATCTTTTGCACTTTTGGCCATTTGTATATCTTTTTTAAAGATATGTCTATTAAAGCTTTTGCCCATTTTTACCTAGATTGTCTTTTTAGTATTAGATTGTAAGATTGTGTACATTTTGGATATGTCTCCTGTCAGATATAATGATTTGCAAAAATTATCTCCCAATTTATGGTTTGTCTTAACATTTTTATAATGTCATTTGATGCACCAAAGTTTTTAATTTTGATTAAGTACAATTTATCCACTTTTTCTTATGTTGCTTGTGATTTGGTGGCATATAAGCATCTGCTTCCAAACAGCAGGGCACATAGATGTTCACCCATATAAAGAGTGTTATTTATAGTTTAATCTCTTACATTTAGGTCTTTGATATGTTTTGTGTTAAATTTTGTATATGTTGTGAAATAGGGGTCTGACTTCATTCTTTTACATGTGGCTATCCATTTGATCAAGGATCATTTCTTAGAAAGACTATTTCTCCATTGGGTAGTCTTGACACTCCAAAAATCAATCGCCCACAGATGGATTTCTTTCTGGACTCAATTATGTACTATTGATTTATATGTCTATTTCTATGTCAGTACCACACTTTTGATTACTGTAGTATCAAAGTATATGTTCTCCAACTTTGTAATTGATTGTTTAGGGTCACATTTCCATATGAGTTTTAAGATCAGCTTATTCCTACAGAAAAAAAAGTCAGTTTGAGTTTTGATAGGGACGACAGATAAATTTGGGGAACATTGCCTTAGTATGAAAAGTATCCTGTAATCCACGAATATGGGATGTATTACCAGTTTTTAGGGTTTCTAATTTCTTTTAGCACTATTTTGTAGTTCTTAGGGTGTAAGTCTTATACTTTCTTGATTACATTTATTCCTAAGTATTTTATTCTTTCTGATGCTGTAAATGGAATTGCTTCATTGATCTCCATTTCAAGTTGTCTTTTGCTAGTGTATAGAAATATACTGATTTTTTATTACTGGTCTTTCATCCTGCAATTTTGATGAGCTCTGTTATTAAATTTAATAGGTTTTTTGTGGATTCTTCAGAGTTTTCTTTTTATAAGACAATGTCATCTGCAAATAGAGGTTGTTTTACTTTTTTCCCAATTTGTATGCTTTTATTTCTTTCATCTTGCCTAATTTTCTGGCTTTAAAAAGACTTCACATGTATTAAGAATAAAAAAAGGAAATACACAAATTGCAACCACAGAAAATGTACTGTCATCACTTCCAATGTAGAAATTGCTTTTTTGAGCATCTTAATCCCTTTAGTTGTCAAGGCAAAAATAAAAGTAACAATCCTCATTTCCTCTTTAAAAACACACTCCAAGTGATGGGCAAAAATCTGGTAATGAGTAATCTTAACTTTTCATATGAAATTCTAAACTTTACATGAAGAAGGTAATTACCTTCACCATACAACATTATTTTAACATTATAATAAAGCATTCATATAACAATGCCATGGTATACTACATAAGCATCATTCCTTCATGCCAGGATACAAAAGTCAATTTTCTTCCCTAGGTCTTGGTTTATTTTATTTCTTGATGTTTTGATTATATCTTACTTTCACTTTACACCCAAACTTTGCTTCACATAATTTTTCTTCAAAAAGGCTCAACAGTTGTAAGGTGTGAAGGGAGGAGTGGAGTAGGGGAGTGCTAATTTATAGAGGCAGCCTTCACTTATTACTGTAAGTGACAGTGGATATAAATTATAAATCTATAGAGAACAGTCCATACTAAAGATTTGGACAAATAAATAAAGATATAAAAAATCTTCAGAGAATCCCACAGAAAAGGTCAAGAAATACACTTGGAGTTTTTTTTAGTAATATGCAGCATCTTTTGTTAACTATAATTGGCATCACATGTATTTGGTAATACATAATACTGACTCATCACAAGAATTGATTTTCTGAGTATACAGTGCTGAAGTTTTTTTTTTTCATTGCAGTTTTCTTTTTATTAATAATTTATCTTTATTGTTGAAAGTACTACGGATGTCCTCTTTTCCCCCCATTGACTCTCTTTACACTGCATTCACTCCCAGGCCTTCACCACACTATTATCTGTGTCCATGAATTTTAATCTAAAATTTTCTGTTGTGATTTTGAAAGGCTTGCCTCACTCATAACCATTAATGTGGATGGGGAAGGCATGCCTTAGGATAAAAAAAATTAATAGGAATAATATTTGAAACCATATTATAATTAGACAGAAAAGTATGATTTAGTCTATGGCTGTACCTTGAGAAAAGAGTATACACAATTATTCAGTGGCATATCAGCTGCATAAAGCAAGGCCTGCCTGTAATGTTTCCCCCTAATCATACTTAACATATTTCATTTTTTTCATGCTGAACATTATAAATTCTTATTAACAACTCATGCTTGGGATGGTATGAGCAAAGGGAGACAGAGAACATTTATGTTGGAGCTGGAATCTAATCTTATAAACCACTAGAGACCCGGTGCACGGATTTGTGCACATTGAAAGTAAATTAAATAGAAGGTGGCCGGAGGGGCAGGACTGGGTGAGAAGGGCCAGACACACCCTGGGGCCAACCTCCTGTGGTCCCTCTCCGGCATCTGTGGAGTGAGCAGAATCTCTCCCGCAGGTGGGGTCCCTATCCCCGGCCTGTGGAGAACAAGCTAAAATTGGCAATCTGACATCCCCCGAGGAGTCCCGGAGTGCGAGAAGGCATTCTGCAACTTTGCTGTCGCTCCTGTGTTGAGCATCCGCCCCCTGTTGGTCATTGCACGTCAT